TATTTCTGCTATAGGGTGGTCAGGCAGCAGTTAATCTACATTTTGATAATTTGTCAGATGTGGTGACTTGGTAATCAATGCATTCTATATAAATATAGCACATGCTTTAAATTATTCACCATTGATAAATAAGATAGTCAAAGAGTTGGAAATGTGGGCTGATCTTCCACTCTTGTTATTTGAGAGAAGCCATCCTATTAAGATGGTAAGCTTAGCCCTGTCTTCTCTATCCTTTACAAACATTACCAATTCTTAAATATAACTATGTCAACCAATTAATGAAGGCTATGACTAGGTTTTGTTTTTTTATGGCATGGGAAAAGACCATGAGTATCAATATCTACTCTTCCGTGCGTAAAACATAAAGGTGGTGTTGGCCAATAGTAGAACTTACAATTTAGCTTGCTTACTGAGACATGTTTTGGACTGGTTATCATCTTTGTCAAGGTACTCTAAATTAGATTCAGAGAGAGAACAGGCCTCTCCATGGAATCTCTGCTTTATTACACACTAAGATGAGAAATCTGCCTCCAAGTTTGAAGACTAATTTACTTTATAGGGATACAATAGTAGCTTGGAGAGAGTTGAGGAAAAAACAACGAATTTCTCCCTATGTATCAAAGTTCCTGCAAATTCACAATAATCCATCATTTCCACAGAGCAGAGATTATGCACTTTCTCAAACCTGGAGGCAGAATAAGTTGATTATGGCACACCAATTGTACCATACTAATTCTTAAAAATGTTAAAAGTGTAACTCCTGCGCTACCTAAAGAGTGAGTAAATGAATAAATATGCCAAAGTGTATACAGCTACTGCTAGCATCAATATGTGTTCCCACTGTGTGATGCTGCACTGCTAAAATGATATTAAATGTGTGAGACTGTATATGCACCATTTTTTTCACATATGTTACAAGAATGAAATAAATAAGATAAACCTCACATAAATGGTAAACATATGCAATAACGTGTACCAATAATCATTAGAGTCCAGTTAGTGATATTACAATACTTAGCCCTTGCCATTCATAGTGTAATATCAAATAAAATAACAAAAATAGTGGAATTCTTGTTATAGTGATCATCCAGCACCATAAAATATTACTTGCTGTACTTCTAAACTTCACACAGTGTATGCCACCTCTATGTTCACAGAACTCTAACCTCCAGACTAGTATCATATCGCATGTATAGGATAAACCACCCAGATTCCACCAATATTATGATCTTCCTTCCCCTCCAGTGGCAGGAATATTTCATGTCTTTAAATACCCTATGGATCTCAATGGGTTAGCAGCCTTTTTATTGAAGCCCATATGTAAATTATAATTCTTACTCATTAAGGTCTTTCGAAACCATCTGTATGGAATTTAGCAGTGCAAGTCAGTATTATCTCTACTAATTACAAATCTCTAGTTATCTAGGGTCCTGTTTTGGTGATATGCTCTAAGTATTCAAGCCAACCTTTTTGGATAGGTTGATAGGAAACTGTGTCTATGCTATATCTGATATATACCATCCTTTGAATGATAGCTCTCCAAGTCAGTGAAAAAAAAGTGCAAAAAATTGACAAACTGATTTTTTCCTTTGAGGGATACAACAAGGTTCGGAGAATCATTATAAATGAGAGCTGGAGAGAAACTCAATTTAATATCAAACATAAAACATACATCCCATTCATAATAAATGCCTCACTACCATACGCAGGTATATGCTCAAAATGTAATTTACATGGACCCACATTAGCACATCGTGGCATTGAGAGCAGGCATTGGAATATATAAATCTGGTTACACGTATTACTATTCGCAAAGACCATTTGATGTTACTGTTTTGCTGTGATCCGGCTGAGATAATAAGTATTATAATTAGGCAGACATGTAATTTACCGTGGATTCATATATGTTTATTGACAGCTCGGAGAGCCAATATGAGGCACTGGAAAACTAGTACATCTCCTATGGTGGCAGAATTAATAACAGATATGAAAAAAATACTGCTATATGTTGAAAAAATAAGTCTGGAACTTTCAAATCAGACCCAAGTTAACAATTTCTTTAAGAGGTGGATACAGTTTAAAGACTGCTTTCTAGATCAGATGGAGATACAACAATATATGACCATATTTAAATATACAGAATGGTATATTAAATCTGAAGCTACTATTAGTTTGGGTAAGTTTAAACTTAACTCATACTAAAAACATATTTTTATTTATTACCTTATTTAAGATACATGGTATAGGAATTATTAAAGGTTGATGTCAATTGTGGATAAAGACTATTGGTTATATTTGTTAGTACATGTTTTGTTAAATTACAATATTTGGTAATTGTAATATATTCAATGTATGTTAATCAGCATTTTTTCCCTATTTATGTTGAACTGGTTAAGTATCATAATGCAAGAGTGTTTGAGATGTGAGTTGTAGATATGTTTTTATATTGTACCATTTAAAAAATGGAAAATAAAAATATTTTTTAAAATTAAATCGAATTTACCAGAGGAATTTTACCCTCCCACAGTGCATTTATTGCATTACTCAAGTGGTATTAAACCCAAAACCAAAAATGTAATATATTGCAGTTTACCAATCATTAGATGTAGTGGCTACATTATTTTTCATTTTTAGGCTTTTCACTCTGGCCAGTAACACACCTCCTGTATTAGAGTGCCTATCCTCTGGATGAAGCAGCAAAACAGACACCACTGGACAGTCAGGCCAGTCAGGATAGTGTTAAATGTTTTAGCAGATTCAAACAGTCACAAATTGAAGCCAAACTTCCACACACATTTTAAGCATTTATAGCAGTTATTCCTTTTCAGATAAAGATTTTACATAAATAAAAATGGACCATTGTAAGCACCCCTGTCAGTTGTAAATGGTTTGTCTAAACCCTCAAACTGCTACATCTGCAGGACAGAAAAACAACAGATTTACTGGCAGGATAATAAAATAAATAAACATAAAGGAAAAAAAGCTCAAACAAGAAAACTGCAAATGCATCCACCATACCTGAAAATTGATAAACTGCAATATAATGTTTGCTTTTGGGATTAATACCACTTTTAAAAATTTTTTAAGTAGTATTAGTATCTCACTTACCTACAGCTAATACCTATTTCATTATATTTAGTCTTTTAAAAGCCAGCAGATTTATTCTTTTCCAGTAATACCTTTTTTTACAGTCAACAGAAAATTATCTTACAATAACTGGCCCAGGAAAAGGCATTGGAAAGCTTTAGCAGAAATAACGTCATTGCTAATTATGTCTCACCAAAATGTACAGATTACAGTAAGTACAGTATATTAGCTACTAGTTTGTTAATAGAAGCCTGGTACTGGCTCTTTTGTGCACGAGAATGATTCATACATCAACAATTGCAATAAAGTGTTGCTTTGAAGAACTCAACTGCTGGAGAATCAATATCTGCTGTTGTCAATGGACTGCAGAAATACTCAGCACTGGCTATAGCAGTTAAAAATACTTTCATAGCTTGTTGTTTAGGGCAATGACAAAAACCACATACAGCTTACTTCTTTCCAGCCTGACAATCAATATTAAGCTGTGGAATGACTACTGTGTCGCTTCATGCTTGTTTTCAGATTGAAAAATGTATCAGATATTAAACAAAGGGGTGGCCACTAGGTAGCTGCATAGTCTTGATGTAGATTTACAACACAAGGGAATTTTTTGCAGGCTTCCAAAAGAGGAGATGAACCAATATATTACGAAATGACAAACTTGGCAATGCTAGCTGTTTGGCTAGTTATTGTGTTTAAAGTTTATTGTACATAAAGCAAAAGCAAGCTATCATATCATTTTAATAATAAAACTTTCAAAACTCCATATTGCCCACAAAAATATCTTAAAATACCTTTAAATACTTTAAAATATGTTATATCCTGCAGTCGGATGACCATATTTACTCTCTTCACGCTACTCTGGAGAAGGGCAGGAGGGTGTGGCAGCTGCTGTCTGAGGGTCTTATTACTTTAGATAGCAAGCTGTCAATCAAAATTAGCAGAGCTGGGCAGGAGGTGTGTCAGCTAGGCTAAGTACAAGACTAAATGCATGAAACATGCATGACATGGGATGGCAAACTGACTATGGCAGCATGGATCTGCTTTTGTGTCAGCCATGATCAGAATGGTGAAGGAACACTTGGGACTGATAGGATCACTAGGTGTTTTCTGATACCTATTGGAATTATAGAAATAAAGGAACATTTACTAATGCTAATATGTGCAGAGGAATGTATTTTTGCAATGTTGTTATCAAGGTTTACAATCATCACAAGGTGAAACCACTGCAAACACCATAAAGCATTTCCCCTCCCCTTGCCACCACCACCAACAACAAGACCCAAAGCTTCATCATAGTTTGACACAGACTTCCATTATATTTATATAAGTATGTATAGTTTATATATTTTATTTTTATCTATTGGTTTAAGCTTAGCTTTAATTGTACTTTCTGTTTTTGCTAATTTGTAAAATTAAAAAAATAGCAGTAGCTGCTGCTGTTATCTGTTCTTTGATGCATCCCCTAAAATAAAAAAAAAAATTTAATATTCTATTTCCAGCTTCAACAACAAATGAGAAACAGTAGTTCCTCTTTCATGATACTATAAGTGATAGAATATGAGAAGTATTAAAGTAGCCATAATAAATATTTTCATAAATAGCTGGGATTTTCAGTAGGCCGCAGCACCTACTGCCCAATTGTTGTCATTCTTAACCTGGATCTCAGTTATCTACATTTTTTTATCCTGATCCATGTCACCCAAATTTTTTCTGTGAGTTTATTTACTAATGGTAGGCTGATCCAAAAGTAGACATATCACAATGACTGACCCATCTTGCCTTGCTCATTTGTAAGAAATTATGCATATACACTATATTGTCAATCGTATTGGAACACCCCTCCAAATCATTGGATATAGGTATTCCAATCACCTACATGGCCACAGGTTTATAAAATAAAATACCTAGGCATGCAGACTGCTTCTACAAACATTTGTAAAAGAATGAGTCGCTCTCAAGAGCTCAGTGAATTCAAGCATGGTATCGTGATAGGTTGCCACCTGTCCAATAAGTCCACCCGTAGAATTTCCTATCTACTAAATATTCCACAGTCAACTGTTAGTGGTATTATAACAAAGTGGAAGCAACTGAGAACAACAGCAACTCAGCCACGAAGTGGTAGGCCATGTAAAATGACAGAGCACGGTCAGTGTATGTTGAAGCGTACAGTGCTCAGAAGTCGCCAACTGTCTGCAGAGTCAATAGCTAAGGACCTCCAAACTTTATGTGGCCTTCAGATTAGCACAACAACAGTGTGTAGAGAGCTGTATGGAATGGGTTTTCATGGCCGAGCAGCTACATCCTGTTCCAACATGTCTGCACATCAGTGCACAAAGCAAGGTTCATAAAGACATGGATGAGCGAGTTTGGGGTGGAGGAACCTGACTGGCCTACAGAAAGTTCTGAGCTCATCCTGATAGAACACCTTTGGGATGAATTAGAGCACAGACTGCGAGCCAGGCTTTTTCATCTGACATCAGTGCCTGACCTCACAAATGCTCTTCCAGAAGAATGGTCAAACTTTCCTATAGACATACTCCTAAACCTTGTGGACAGCCTTCCCAGAAGAGTTGAAGCTTTTATATAGCTGCAAAGGGTGGTCCAACTCAATATTAAACCCTACGGACTAAGACTGAGATGCCATGACACACTCCTAAACCTTGTGGACAGCCTTCCCAGAAAAGTTGAAGCTGCAAATAGTGGGCCAACATAATATTGAACCCTATGAACTAAGACAGGGATTCCATTAAAGTTCATGTACGTGTAAAGGCAGGCATCCCAATACATTTGGCAATATAGTGTGTGTGTGTGTATATATGTATATATAGATATATATAGATATATAAAATCATATTATATCCTCCCAGAGATAGGTATGGGTGGGGAAACCAAGCATGAGATATGCCATTTCACAAATGTTTTTACATTAATATTGACCAATGGGTGTGAAGATAGTGAAGTCCAGGGCAGTGAAGAAAAGATTCCAAGCAAAAGGTTATGCTCCATGGGGACCTAGCATTTAGATTTCATGTGGCATGACCAGCTCAAGATTCTAAGTAGAACTGCCTCAGACCAGTAGCTCTGAAAGATGGGGCTGCATAGGTCATCTAAGTCTTTGGCCTAGGTGAGAAATTCATAGTGCATCATCGGTGGCTTATGACTCCAATAGATTTCTCAATCACTAAGTGTTTATTGGTTATATCAAGGTTACAACAAAGGAACATAATTTAGTTGTACAGCGCAGATCTCAAAGTGTGTACATGTGTCGGACAGTTTTCAAAGTACAATCAGGTAGCAGTCAAGTGTCAAAGTACAATAACTTTATCCCTCTGCAATGATTTTTGACATTTCAGTTTTATAAGACAATCTCTCTGTCCAAATATTCCAAGATTTGTGAAAGGAATTATGTTTTGTTGCATTTATGGCTAATAGCCGTTCATAGGTATAGTTGTTCTTAACTGTGTCTACTATTTCAGAAGGATTTGGTGCCTTGCTGGATTTTCGGTGTCTGAGAACTACAGATCGAGCAGCCACTAAGGTGTGTGTGACAACCGGTCTACATAGACGTGGGAGTTTGTCAATAACAATGTTGAGAAAAGCCAGTGCTGAGCAAGGAGATATCAATATCCCGGTGCATGTGAAGAGGAGTTCAAAAGCTGGTGAGGATGGGGCAACCCCACAGGATGTGGAGTAGATGACCCACTTGGCCACAGTTATACCAGAATAGAGGGGATCAGTCAGAGTAGAATTTGGTCATGCAAAAAGATGTGTAATACCATTTATTGGTGATTTTCATTGACAGTTCCCAGTGGTTATGATGCTGTAGATATGGAAGGAGTTTAGATCATTCTCCCATTTGAGCATTGTGCTGGATTTACTAAAGGTGTTTTTAGCTTGTAAAATATTATAAAATAGGGAGATTCCTTTGTTCTTTTGATTATTAGAGGTGTAAAAGCACCATGTGTTATGGTGGGTGGTGAATACTGGAATGGGATGTTTGTATAGAAAATGTGCAATATGAGCACATGAATAGTGTCTTTTTAGACATGTCATATTTTGCTGGTGTATTGTGGAGATGTCTTCAAGCTAGTAAGGAGGCTTGAGTAGTTAAGAGTAGGGGAGCCAGGTGCCAGGTCCCAGTGTCTCCACATGTCACTTAAAAGGAGTAGATATAAGTCTGCTGTGGGCGATAGAGCTGATTCAACCTCTACCCATAGTGGCGTTTCCTCTGATGGGAACCAGTGTTTAATTTGTTAGAGTTGTACTGCCCAGTAATAATCTTATAGATCTGTTAGCCCCGCTCCACTTACCGATCTGTGTTTAATTGGGCAGGAGTGTGCACATCTGGCCCTTTTCCCCTTCTGAAGATACTTTCTAAGGAGACTTGACAGGGGTGTTAAGTGTTGTGATGCAATTGGGATAGGCACGGTCCTAAATATGTATAGATGTTGGAGTAGTATGGTCATTTTGAAAGATGCTAGTCGTCCATACCATGACATTTCAAGTTGTGACGTGTTGAAGTTCTACTTGAATTTTGGTGGTCAGAGATTTGAGGTTGGAAGCTGCTAGTGTTGAGGAGGAGGCCGTTAGGGTGGTGCCTAAGTGCTATATCCCCTTCGTGCTCCAGATGAATGGAAGCTGATTTTGGAGAGTGCATTTGGTAGCTTCATTCACTCCAAGATTTAGGATTAGGGATTTTGTCAGGTTTACCTTATAATAAGAAATACTGCCAAAAAGTGTTAGGACTTGGAATGCATGTGGGAGAGATATTGCTAGATTGGTCAATAGGAGTATAATGTCATCTGCAAACAAATTTATTTAGTGTGGTTTAGTTCTGAGCTTGTACTCTGTAATGGACTGATGCCAGTGCTTCAGTCATTAGAATGAAGATCGTGGGGGATAGTGGGCATCCCTGCCGAGTCCCATTGTATATTCTGAAGGTTTTTGACAGTAAGCCACAGGTGAATATTTGTGCTGATGTAGTAGAGTACAATGCCAGGATTGTGGAGAGCATAGTCTCTTAAAAACCAAATTTAGTTATCACCATTTGCATATGTTGCCAGTGAACTCTATTAAACACCTTCTCTGCGTCGATGGACAACATCAGAAAAGGGGTTCAATTTTTTTCTGCGTATTGTATGCCATTTAGACTTATTCTTGTAGCATCTGAAGTTTGCCTTCCAGCAATAAAATCCATTTTTTTTGATCAGAGACATTCATTATGTATTTGGCTAAAAGTTTGGCATATACTTAACATCCGAGTTTAGTAAGGATATTAGTCTAAAGGTGACAGGAGTAGTGGGGTTCTTTCCTGTTTGGGTAAGGTGACCATGTATGCTTTCAACATCTCTGGGGGAAAGTATGATGATTGAGTTGCTTTAGTGTAAAACAGCCATCATATAAGGGGCAACAGTAGAACAAATGTTTTGTAATACTTATTTGGGAAGCTGTTGGGCCCAGGTGATTTTCCATTGGGTAAACACTGCCTTGTCTGCATTGGCATATGAGTTTAGTTTGAGATGTCTAAGGTGTTTGTCGTTTTGGTCTGCTAGATGGGATCTAAATCCCCCCTTAGATTAGAAAGGGAGTTAGAGATAAGTTGTGTAGCGTTAATTTTATTTTAATGTTCTAGGGCAAGAATCTCCAAAAAGAAGCTGGTCAGTTTAAGGTTGTATAGTTTTTTGGCTCTGGACCCCTATTCGATGCATGTACCTCACACGAAAACCTTATGAGCATCCTACAATATATTTGGGTCTGTGACTGATTCTTTATTGTTTTGAAAACACTCCCAGAGATGCTGAGAGATTTTTGGGGCTGTAGCAGGGTCTTATAGTAATTTGACATTACAACATCATACATATGTTCAGTTTTGAGATTGCTGGTCTTCTATCCTCACAGTTATTGCAGCATAGTCTGACCATGTAATGTTGTGGATAGAGGAAGAGGAAACTTTTTGGAGAAGCCATTTGTCAGTTACAAATAAATCGATGCCGGAGTAGGTGCAGTGTCTGGAGGAGAAGAAAGTATATTCTCTCTTGTTGACAAGCTGGCACCTCCTCCGCATGAAACAATGACCTTAATGATGAGGTACAACCTTTAGAGGGAGAACTGGAATCTAGGTGTGGATCCATCATAAGACTGAAGTCTCCGCAGACTAAAAGATGACCATATTTAACAGATGATATATACAGTTGTGTTCAAAATAATAGCAATGTGTTTAAAAAAGTGAATAAAGCTCAAAATCCTTCTAATAGCTTTTCTTTCCATACACACAAATGCATTGGGAACACTACACATTCTATTCCAAATCAAAACATGAAGAAAAATAGATAAAATTTTTGTTGTTCCTCTAAAAATATTGATGAAAAGTGAATATTAGACTGTTCAAAAAAATAGCAGTGTTTGTATTCTTCTTTACAAACTCAAACATTCACTATATAAACTGAAAAATGTTTGAAGATTTTGCTTTCCTTTGAATCACTTAATTAATATTTAGTTGTATAAGCACTGTTTCTGAGAACTGCTGTACATCTGTGTTGCATGGAGTCAACCAACTTCTGGTACCTGTGAACAGGTATTCCAGCCCAGGATGATTGGACTACATTCCACAGTTCTTCTCTATTTCTTGGTTTTGCCTCAGAAACTGCATTTTTGATGTTACCCCACAAGTTTTCTATTTGATTAAGATCCGGGGATTGGGCTGGCCACTCCATAACGTCAATCTTGTTGGTCTGGAACCAAGATGTTGCACGTTTACTGGTGTGTTTGGGGACGTTGTCTTGTTGGAACACCCATTTCAAGGGCATTTCCTCTTCAGCATAAGGCAGCATGACCTCTTCAAGCATTCTGATGTATTCAAACTCATCCATGATAAACAGGCCCAACACCGTAGTATGAGAAACATCCCCATATCATGATGCTTGCGCAACCATTTTCCTCAGAATTTCAGAGAGAAATGCACTGTAACCAACATGTACAACATTTGCTGCCTTCCTTCCTTAAATAAGGGCAATAATTGCCACCTGTTTTTCAAAGAATGAATGACCTCACTAATAGAGCTCCACACTGCTATTATTTTGAACATGCCCCTTTCAATTAGTGATTCAATTACACAGAATCAGCAGCATGCATGTCATGACTGTTGGGTCTGTTGGATTTCTATTACTCTACTACACCTGCTAGTAAATTATTTGCCATGTAGAAATATCATTTCTACCAAAAACAGTGATTGATCAGGTTAGTGATGTCTGACTGCTATTATTTTGAACACAACTGTACGTTTAAAGACTCTACGTATAAAGCGGGGTGCATATGTAACTACTATGGTATACAGTTTATCATTAATATCACAGATGAGTATGATATATCTGCCGTCATTGTCCACTACTGAACTTTT